CCATCAACATCAGCATGGCCATCGTCATCGGCACTGTCGTCGCTCCCGCCATCAGCGCCACCGTCATCAACATCTGCATGCTAAGGGTCCTCGCGCCATTACGTCAACTGGGCTCAGCCAGCTAATCCAACCCGCCATCTGGGCGCAGGTGGTTGAACGAGTTTTGTCTTCTCTCTGCAAATCTCCCTCCTTCCCCTGCTCGGGAAAGGGGGGGTTATTCTTAGGTCGGGCATATCCCCCTACAGGCGGAACTTGGACGAAAAATCCGCCGATCCAGCGTGTGAGTTTAAGACAACTGCAACCTGAGCTTCAGCTCTGCTGGGGGGGGCCGGGGGGGCTCTGCCGGGGTAGGGGGGGAGTCGGGGAGGGGGGGGGGGGGGTCATCGGGTCCACCCTTTCTTCCCCCTCCCCCCCGGGAATCCCAAACCGCCCCAAGACGAGCCAAAAAAGGCCCAGGAGGCCACCAAGACGGTCCATGAGGCGCCCGGAACGGCCCAAGAGCGCTCCTAGACGCCCAGGATGGCCTGAAGACGGCCCAAGAGGCCTCCAAGACGCCTCAAGGAGATCCCAAGAGGACCCCCAAGAGGGCCCCAAGAGGGTACAATAATAAAGTTGCTAATAGGTTTTGAAGCACTCAAATATTATCGCCTTTTCCGTCTTAGAAGCGCCGAAGACGGTCCAAGAGGCCCCCAAGATCGCCCCAAGACAGCCCAAGAGGCCCCCAAGAGGAGCCAAGACGGTCCAAGAGGGCCCCAATATAGCCCTGGAGGCCCCCCAAGACGACCCCGAGAGGCCCCCAAGATGGCCTCAAGAGGGTGAACCCGAACGGACCCTTCTAGTCCTCCACCCCAAGATGACCCCAATTACTCCGACGGAAGGACCCCACACGATAATCTCTTTAGCTTGCATGGGGGTATCCTCCTGCCCCTTCCCTTTTCCCACCTACTCATGCCTCCTCGTTCTCCTCCTGTCTGCTCCTCCTCCTGCCTCAACCCCTGCCTTTTCCTCCTCTTCTTGCCTCCTCCACCTCCTCCCCCTCCCCCTCGTTATGCTTCCTCCCCCCCATTCCCCCTGCCCCTCCTGCCTCCTGCCTCCTCCTCCTGCTCTCCCTCTCCCTCCCTCTCCTGCTCTCCTCCTCCTCATCCCCTGTCCTCCTCCTCTCCCTCTCCCTCATCCGCTTCCTCCTCCTCCTCCTCCTCCTCCTCCTCCTCCTCCTCGTTTCCATATCCTCCTCCTCCTCCTCCTCCTCCTCCTCCTCCTCCTCCTCCTCCTCCTCCTCCTCCTCCTGCCTCCTCCTTAGGCCTCCTGCCCCCTCCTGGGGCCTCCTGGGGCCTCTTGGGGCCTCCTGGAGCCTTCTGGGCCTTCCGGGACCTACTGGGGCCTCCTCGGGCATTCCTCCTCCTCCTTTTCCTCCTCGTCCTTCCTCCCCTCAGCCTCTTCCTCTTCCTGCTTTCCTGTCTCGTCCTGCATCATCCCTCCTCCTTTTCCTGGCAATCCTCCTCCTCCTCGTCCTCGTGCGGAACACGACCCAGAGGAAGCGCACGACGTGCGTCCCAGCCGATACGCGCCGGAGGACGACCCAGAGGAAGCGCGCGCCGGAGGATGACCCGGAGGAACCACGTGAGCTGCGGGACCCATAGGAAGGTTCCCGCCTGACGCGTCCTCACAATTCACTCACAGACGAGGGTCCCGCTTGATACTTCTTCCAAATTCAAACCTGAGGAGCCCAAAGGTGACGACAGTTACAAGAATCCGATGACCCGCTCGGATTAATAACATGATCTGCGGGCCCCATAGGGAGGGGGCTCCCGCCTGAGACTTGCTCGCAATTCACTGACAAACGAGGCTCCCGCCTGATACTTCCTCCAAATTCAGACCTGAGGAGCCCAAAAGTGACGACGGTTACAAGAATCCGATGACCCGCTTGGATTAATAATATGATCTGCGGGCCCCATAGGGAGGGGGCTCCCGCCTGAGACTTCCTCACAATTCACTCACAGACGAGGTTCCCGCTTGATACTTCCTCCAAATTCAGACGTGAGGAGCCCAAAAGTGACGACAGTTACAAGAATCCGATGACCCGCTCGGATTACTAACATGATCTGCGGGCCCCATAGGGAGGGGGCTCCCGCCTGAGACTTCTCACAATTCACTCACAGACGAGGCTCCCGGATACTTCCTCCAAATTCAAACCTGAGGAGCCCAAAAGTGACGACAGTTACAAGAATCCGATGACCCGCTCGGATTATAACATGATCTGCGGGCCCCATAGGGAGGGGGCTCCCGCCTGAGACTTCCTCACAATTCACTCACAGACGAGGCTCCCGCTTGATACTTCCTCCAAATTCAGACCTGAGGAGCCCAAAAGTGACGACAGTTACAGGAATCCGATGACCCGCTCGGATTAATAATATGATCTGCGGGCCCCATAGGGAGGGGGCTCCCGCCTGACGCGTCCTCACAATTCACTCACAGACGAGGGTCCCGCTTGATACTTCTT